ATGAGCAGCTGAAGAGTGATATATACATTCTGTATCTCAAAACTAGAGCTCATAGGAGAAAAATGTCATTTTTAGACCCAGAAACAGGTCTAACATGGGAGGCACCAAAATGTGTTGGAAATGACAACCTTCTTCAATCCTTCTCTAGTAGTGTTTATCTATGGTTCTGTTGCTTACTGTTTCCTGTATGTATGTTCTGGTATGCAACTTCATTTGCTCTATGGCTCCTGAGAAGTTGGAAAAGGGGCTGCAGACCACATGCTTTTCTCTCTCTCTCTCTCCTTTGGACTATGTGACCTGTTGATAGTTGTTTCGTTACAAGAGATATGCCCTGGCTGGCTGCACAGGAAACCATCTCAAACATATTTGAAACTGTACTGATAAATTTTGTACCTGTGTATGCTGAACACTTAAACGTTGTGAGTAAACCAAATATGTTTTTTTTTAAATCAAAGTTTACTTCATTTTTTTCTCTTGTGGGAGCATATATATTTTGGGCAACTGAAAAACACTTTTGAAGCACTGCTGTTTTTTAACGCACTGGCAAAATCTCTGTTTTCTTAACAGATCAGAGATAACAGGTTATTTAGTCTTAACATCTGAAAGCATTGTCAAGCATATCATCTGGTTGTACACCACAAAAGAAGATTCTACTTTAAAGAGTTTTTGGCTTTTCTCTGAAAGGTCATGCTTTTCTAAAAAGTTACAAATTCCAAAAAGCATTTTGCTAAGAGGCTATGAATGCCATTTGCCAAAGTATATGTTTTGCCAGTGTTATTAGCTGCTCCACTGGCCAAAAAATTATTATGGGTCCTGATCTAAATCAGGGGCAGACAAAATGCAAACATTCAGATATTGTTGAATGGCAGTTTCCAGCATTCCTCACTAACTTGGGCTCTTTTTTGCCTTCTGTTCTTGTATCAAAGAAGAGAGAGGGCTTTCTTCGTGGTTGCTCCTTCTCTCTGGAACTCTTTCCCTTTTGAACTTAGAACAGCCCCTTCCCTCCCTTCCTTTATAAAACAATTAAAACCATATTTAAGCTCCATAGCCTATGGAGAGGTTGGTGAGTAATGTTATCCAGTCCAACTTACCAGTCCGAACATATCACCCTCTATGAACCAGTTCATAGATTAATATATTCCAGGGAGGTCCTACTCTTGGCCCCACTGGCCTCACAGGTGCAGCTGATAGGACGAGGGACAGGGCCTTCTCAGTAGTGGCCCCATGGCTTGGAACTCCCTCCCGAGTGGGATCAGGTCGGCCCCTCCCTCCTGACCTTTAGGAGACAGCTAAAGTTCTGGCTGTGGAACCAAGCATTCGGCCCATTATAGGAATATTATAGTTAAACTGCAAGTTGAAAGTGCAAAGACCCAGGACTGTTTACAGACAATGGCTATGTCTTTGTGCGATATGTGATGTTATTTTATGTGATGTGTTTAATAATATTGAATGTTTTATCAGGGGAGGATCAATTTTGATGTTTTATACTGTTTTTAATCAATGGCATTGAATTGTGTGAACCGTCCTGAGTCCCCTTCGGGGTTGAGAAGGGTGGTAAACAAATACCTCAAATAAATATATAAATAATCCCTCTCCAACTGGACCAATGTCCTTGTTAAGGGTATAGGTAAAGGTAAAGGTAGTCCCCTGACATTAAGTCCAGTCATGTCTGACTCTGGGGTGTGGTGCTCATCTCCATTTCTAAGCCGAAGAGCCAGCGTTGTCCGTAGACACTTCCAAGGTCATGTGGCCGGCATGATTGCATGGAGCGCCGTTACCTTCCCGCCGGAGCGGTACCTATTGATCTACTCACATTTGCATGTTTTCGAACTGCTAGGTTGGCAGAAGCTAGGGCTGACAGCGGAAGCTCACGCCGCTCCCCGGAATCGAACCTGCGACCTTTCGATCAACAAGCTCAGCAGCTCAGTGCTTTAACCCACTGCGCCACCGGGGGCTCCTGTGGGGCTCCTCTTAAGGGTATATGCATCCTGAAAGCCACTTTCATATTTATATCTTATATTTTTATATCTCATATTTAAACAGTATTTACTGCTCATGCACTTTAGGAGGCCTGATCGCCCATCTTCTCCATGGGATCTATTTTTATCTGTGTTTTAATCTATTGTTATTATTTTTAGAGCGTTGTGTTTTTATAACTATATGCGGCATTGAATGTTTACCTTTTGCTTTTGAAGCAGTCCTGAGCCCCTTCCGGGAGAGAGGGCAGGTTAGAAGTTTTATTGTTGTTGTTATCAAAGTTCAGATTGTCCATTCCATCACGTTTCCAATTTCTGATGCATGGTTGTAAAAGTTAGCAGTGGAAAAAGGGCTGACAAGAAAAGGATTTACTCGTTTGAAACTTGCTGCTGGAGGAAAGTTCTACAGATAACGCTGTCAAAAAGATGAAAAATAAATGTGTCTCAGAGAAAATCGAGTCTTAACTCACATGAGAAGCCAAGGTGGGTTGAGGAGTATCCTGCATCTGAAATACGAAATCCTCCAAAACTGTCCACTTGGGTGGAGTTGAGCTCTTTCTGGTGGTATGCAAACTTAATTTCATGCACACAGTTATGAAAGGCATTGTAGGAAAATTCCTTCTGGTTCTGTGTATATATGAAACAGCATCATGCTTCTCTCTTTTGCTTTGTTCTGTCTTCATCCTGCTGGTTTGCATCTTGAGAATCAGAACCTCAATTCACTATTTTTGTTCCTGCTGGCTGTTTCTCCCTTTCAGTTTTCATTGTATGGGATAACTTTCAGGCTTCGCATATAATAAGAGGCATATATGAAAGAAACACCACCCCTTTCATCCAAGAAGAGTCATATATGCAAATATAGGCCTCACTGGCTTGACTTTGAAGGAGCTGGGGGTGGCCACGGCTGACAGCTCTGGCGTGGGTTGGTCCATGAGGTCACGATGAGTCGGAAGCGACTGAATGAATAAACTAGGCCTCACAAAATCAGGACAACACCTCAAAATCCAAAATACTTCCGGTCCCAAGCATTTTGGAGAAGGGGTACTTATTCTGGATGACTAAACTTGAAGCTGCTGTGGATCGATTGTGAGATGGTATGACTCATTAGAACAGGCACTAATTAGTTACTGGCAAAGGGGGAGACTGCAATACAAGTGGGTAGACTCAATCCACGCATCAATTTATTTACAAATCAAATTTCTAATAATGATCATAGAATCCTAGAGTTGGAAGAGACCTCATGGGCTATCCAGTCCAACCCCCTGCCAAGAAGCAGGAAAATTGCATTCAAAGCACCCTTGATAGATGGCCGTCCAGCCTCTGTTTAAAGGCTTCCAAAGAAGGAGCCTCCACCACACTCCGGGGCAGAGAGTTCCACTGCTGAACGGCTCTCACAGTCAGCAGGGTTTTGAGCTCTCCAGCATGGCTGTTAATATCAAAGTAGTATGCATGCCCAATGTGGAACACATCTCACCACACTAAAACAGTAGATGTGGCTCTTAATGAGACATGCCGTATTATCACGGGGTGTCTGCGCCCTACACCACTGGAGAAATTACACTGCTTAGCCGGTATTGCACCACCTGACATCCGCCGGGAAGTAGCAGCCAATAGTGAAAGGACCAAGGCAGAGACATCTCCAGCTCATCCTCCTGTTTGGGTATCAGCCAGCACATCAACGACTTAAATCTAGAAATAGTTTTCTAAGATCTACAGAGACACTTGCTGGAACATCTCAGCAGGCGAGAGTCCAAAAGTGGCAGACTCAAACCCAGAACCTCAACCGATGGCTGATACCAAATGAGAGACTCCCCCCTGGGCACACAGAGGACTGGGCGACTTGGAAGGCGCTGAACAGACTGCGCTCTGGCACCACGAGATGCAGAGCCAACCTTCAGAAATGGGCTACAAAGTGGAATCCTCGACATGCGAGTGTGGAGAGGAGCAAACCACTGACCACCTGCTGCAATGCAACCTGAGCCCAGCCACATGCACAAGGGAGGACCTTCTTGCAGCAACACCAGAGGCACTCCAAGTGGCCAGATACTGGTCAAAGGACATTTAACCAACTACCAAACTCACAAATGTTGTATTTTATCTGTTTGTTTGCTTTGTTCTGTTAGAAATGTAATATAATTGACTGGTTAATCTGACACGACAAATAAATAAAAAAATTAAAATAAATAAATTATTCCAGAAGCATTCTCTCCTGACGTTTCGCCTACATCCATGGCAGGCATCCTCAGAGGTTGTGAGATCTGTTGGAAAGTAGACAAGTGAGATTTATATATCTGTGGAAAGTCCAAAATGGGAGAAAGAACTCTTGTCTGTTTGAGGCAGATGTGAATGTTGCATTAATTGATTAGCATTTAAAGGTCCTGCAGCTTCAAAACCTGGATGATTACTGCCTAAGGGAATCCTTTGTTTGGAGGTGTTAAGTGGCCTTGATTTGATTCTTGTCTGGAATTCCCCTGCTTTTTGAATGTTTTTTATTTACTGCCCTGGTTTTAGCATTTTTCAGAACTGGTAGCCAGATGTGGTTCATTTTGATGGTTTCCTCCTTTCTGTTCAACTCCCAAGGATTTCGGCCATGGAAACCTTCGACAACACAATCTCGAAGTGGCTTGGAAGTCGCCTTGAGAGCCATTGAGAAGAGCTTTGTGCTTCCCTGGCTGCCAGGCCTCTTCCTCCCTTGCCTGGCTGCGATGATGCTCCTGAGTGGCGCGCCTTCTTCCCGTTGCTAGGCGACGGCCTCCTCTTTCTCACCAGAGGACCCTCGGCCGCGCGGCTCTCACCCCGCCATCGGAAGCGGGCCTCCCATTGGCTGCTTGGGCGCGGCGTCACGCGCTCGCCCGCCGGCCCGCTCCTCAGCGGCGCAGCCATTGGGCCCCGCGTCCTCTGGCCACGCGGCGTCATTTTCTCACACCATCGCCCCCCCTCCGCGGCCGCCTCTCGCGTCGCCGATTGGCCCAAAGGAGGAGGGGGCGGGCTCGGGCGCGCCGGCCTCTCATTGGGCGCGGCCGCTCTGTCGCTCACAGGCTTCCACCGGCTGAGGGGTTGGTTTAAAGGCGCGCCTCCAAGGCGAAAGGAAGGCAGTCCCACTGAAGCGCGGAGCAGCGAGCCGGTTCATGTATGTACTGCAGGTGTGGGTATATCTCTATAGGTGTGTGTATGTACTTGGGTGTGTGTATATCTATCTATCTACACACACATATATACACATACATACCAAATATATGTGTGTATGTGGGACTCTATATTTTGTGTGTGTGTATATCTACACACACATACTAAATATGTGTGTGTGTGGGACTCTATATATTTTGTGTATGTGTGTCTGTATCTACACACACATACTAAGTATGTGTGTGTGTGGGAATCTATATTTTGTTTGTGTGTGTGTAATATATATATATATATATATATATATCTACACACACATATGTACACACACATACTAAGTATGTGGTGTGGGGGAATCTGTATAGTTTGTGTGTGTGTATGTATATATATATATATATACACTTGTGTGTGTGTATATATCTACACACACATATACACATACATACTAAATATGTGTGTGTGTGTATGGGACTCTATATATTGCGTGTATGTGTGAGTGTATGTGTGTGTGTGTGTGTGTATATATATATATATATATATACATACACACACACACACACACCAGGCCTGGGCAAACTTCGGCCCTCCAGGTGTTTTGGACTTCCAACTCCCACAGTTCCCAATAGCCACCCTTGTGTGTTTGTGTATATCTACACACACATATATACACATACATACTAAATATGTGTGTGTATGGGACTCTATATTTTGTGTGTGTGTATACCTACACACACATATACACATACACACCAAATATGTGTGTGTGTGGGAATCTGTATATTTGTGTGTGTGTGTGTGTATATATATATATATATACACTTGTGTGTGTATATATCTACACACACATATATATACACACACATACATACTAAATATGTGTATATGGGACTCTATATATTGTGTGTGTGTGTGTGTGTGTGTGTGTGTGTGTGTGTATATATATATATATATATATATCAGGCCTGGGCAAACTTCGGTCTTCCAGGTGTTTTGGACTTCTAACTCCCACAGTTCCCAATAGCCATGCATGTATATATATTTGTGTGTGTGTGTGTGGGGGGGGGGTGTTCTAATTTTATATGTGATTATATATAAGTTTTGCAGAGCACCAGGGGTTGGGTTGGGTTGTAATTCACGAGGTTTAATGTGCCATATATATGTATATGTATACATGTGTGTGTGTGTGTATGTATACAAATGAATGTCGCAGTTTACAATAGGCATATTTATGGACACACACGTGCCCTTTAACAGGCTGTAATAGCTGTAGTAATTATTTGAAGACCCAAGTAAACACATTTTATATTGGGGAATGTTATACTAGTGAATTGGAAATTCCATCTTGAATTATAATTTTATGTCAGGTCTTCACATTGATTGATTGTCATCCTTGTGCAGCATTGCATTGTGGAAGCACTGAGTTGCAAAACTCACACGTTTCTCTCATAATATTGTACTATATCTCAACTATTGGAATCTTTAATCTGTTAAGTGGAACGGGGAGGAACTGTGCAACTCTCCACTCCTAATTATAAGGTGTGTATTTGGTTTGGACTTGCTGTATTTGTTAGCTTTGAAGATATCACAATACTCATCTCTCTTATAAAGACTAGTATTGCTGTTTCGTTACATTTTAGTGTTGGTTTGAATGTTGGGCTATGACCCTGGAGACCAGAGTGTGAATCTCCATTCAGCCATAGAAACTGACTGGAAATGCTGGGTATGTCACACTCTCTCAGCTTCAGAGGAAGGCAACCCCCCTCTGAGCCCCTTTCCACATTGCCCCTATATCCTAGGATCTGATCCCAGAGTATTTTCTTATCCTAGATTATTTGGCAGTGGAACTCTGGCTAAATCTACACTGCCCTGTATCTCAGGATCTGATGCCTGTTTTGTGTGTGTGTGTGTGTGTGAGGAGCTACTTGAGAAACTGCAAGTTGCTTCTAGTGTGAGAAAATTAGCCATCTGCATGGACATTACCCATGGGATGCCCAGATGTTTTTATCATCCTGTGGGAGGCTTTTCTCATGTCCCCGTATGGGGAGCTGAAGCTGGCAGACAGGAACTCACTCCGTTCTCCAGATTCAAACTGCTGAACTTTTGGTCAGCAGTCCTGCTTATACAAGAGTTTAACCCATTGCGCCACTGGGGGATCCAAATTTTATGATTTGAACTGGATTATATGTATGTACATTGCCAGATAATCCAGTTCAAAGTAGATAATCTGGATTTTATATGGCAGTGTAGAAGGAACCTGATCCCCCTTCTACACTGTCCTTATATCCCAGGATGTATCCCAGATATATGTAATCTAGGCCCTTTCACACAACCCTTGATATAACCCAGAATATCAAGGCAGAAAATCCCACAATATCTGCTTTGAACTGGGTTATCTGAGTCCACACTGCCATATATTCCAGTTCAGAGCAAAAAATGTGGGATTTTATTCAGCTGTGTGGAAGGGGCAGATAACTTGGAATCAGATCCTGGGATATAAGGACAGTATAGAAAGGACCTCATATAATCTAGATTAAAGCAGATAATCTGGAATCAGATCCTGGGATATAGAAATATAGAAGGGGCCTGAGCAAATCTTGCCAAGTTTGACAAGTTGTTTTAAATCAGAAATGAAGGCACACAACAATGAACTGACATTAACTTCATCTTAGTTATTCCCAGGTAAATATTTATGAGGTTGTAGACCAAAACTAGATATGCATAGCATTGCATGAAAAAAAATCTTTCTGCTGCTTCTGAAATAATTTTGGACTAGGGTTAACTCTAAGATTGGCTGTTCTGTGAGAGTACTTTTCTTGTTTCCCTCTCTCTGTCTTTTAAAGCAGCCTTTAAATTGCATAAAAAGAAGGGACATTCAGCATGCCGTTCTCTGGCCTTGTTCGAGTTTATGGAAAGTCCTTGGCAACATGTGAATGGATTTTCTTCTCCCACCCTACAGTTGTGACCAATTCTCAATGCCATCTAGAAATAGAAAGGGCAAGCAAACATGAGATCTGGCAAGTGATGGTTAAGAAGAGCTTCCATGGTCTCTGGCTGTCTGTTTACCCAGGTTGTCTTTATCTAGGTGTAGTATTTATCTGACTTGATGTGTGGGATCCAGCAATACTCTCTGTAGTTCAGAAATTGTCTTCCAGTTGTTAGTGGATTTCAAATCCCAGTACCCCTTGCCATTATAACCGATGATGTGGAATTGAGGTTCAGTGACATCTAGAGGCCAAAACAATTATCAGGTTTTTTTTTTCTGGGGAGCGACTTGAGAAATGACAAGTTGCTTCTGGTGTGAAAGAATTGGCTAGGACGTTGCCCAAGAGAGGCACAGATGTTTTGATGTTTTACCATCCTTGTGGGAGGCTTCTCTCATGTCCCTGTGTGGGGAGCTGGAGCTGACAGAGGGAGTTCATCCACACTCTCCCCAGATTCGAGCCTCCAAACTGTTGGTCTTCAGTCCTGCCGGCACAAGGGTTTAACCCATTGTGCCACCGGGGGCTCCTCAGATGTGCTGCAGGTAATGGGGCAGAGAATCCTATGCTAAGGCAGAATGAGCAAAAGGCCATTGCACCTTCCCATCTTCAGCTGCATGCTGAAGCCCCTGATGGCGCAATGGGTTAAACCCTTGTGCTGGCAGGACTGTTGGCTGATAAGTTGGCAGTTCAAATCTGGGGAGCGAGGCGAGCTCCCATCTGTCAGCTCCAGTTTCCCATGCAGGGACATGAGAGAAGCCTCCCACAGATGGTAAAACATCCAGGCGTCTCCTGCACTTCTCTCACCAGAAGTGACGTGCAGTTTTTCAAGTTGCTCCTGACGCACACACACAAACACACACACAAACTGCATGCTCCTTTGGGCACTACAGCAATCCATTTCAGTTTGACACCGTGAACACAGTCCTTCATTGCCGCTGCTATTCAGAGAGGAAGAGCAAGCTGATAGGGACAACCATATATTGGCTATGGTTTCTTTCCAGAAACAATATGGTAGTAAGAACTGGACTTGGCTGTGGTGATCTACCAACCATACCACTTCACTTTCCCTTATCAGACCTTGCTGTGTTACTCAAGACAAGGGATTTCGTGTATCAGAGGTTTTGTCAATTGAGGTATGTCTGTACTGTACCAAAACCTCCCAGTTTCCAAGTACTTTGTTTTTGTTTTCCTTTTTCTAGTGTGCTGTTCTCTGTTCTTGACACTAATCACATAACTTCACTTGAGATTTCAACACTCTTCTCTTTTCCTGCTTAGATTTGAGACACTGATATATTATTACAGTGGCCTGCCTACCTGAACCTAATTGAGGACAGCAGTAAAGTACATAGTGTTTCTTGAAACTTTCAAAGAGGAAACCATGTTAGTGTGCTGCAAGTAAAGAAAGGAAACTAAAGCTTTGTTCTAGCAGATTTATCACAGCAAAAGCTTTAGTGGGTCAGGCACACTTCATCAGACAGATGAGACTTAGTGCATTTTGGAAATGGTATCTCCGCCTTCCACATAATGATTTGTATTGATTTAAATTAAAATGATGTATCTGTGGTGGCTGATCACTTAGGAATAGGAACTCACCTCATTTTTAAAAATGAACTCTTAAGTTCCCTTTATTCAATTTTTTTTAAAAATCTCAATGTGTCCTAATTTTTGCTCCGCCCTTTTGCTGAAATATTTCACCTGAAAGGCATGCAGCATATTATTTCTTCACTGAGAAATACCTTCTTTCTAAACACATGATTTGAAAGTAGATATAATAAAATCTCCCTTGGCAGCAAAGAGGTTTTGAATGAACATTGTTCTTGTGGGACAGGATTTTCCAGTAAGGGTCTCCTGATTGTTAAGATACCATGAAACACAGTAATTAGAAATACTACCTAATTTTTCCATATCAGTAGAGCCAATGTGATATGGTGTTTTGGGTGTTGGACTATGACTCTGGAGACCAGGGTTTGAATCCCTGCTCAGCTACAGAAATCCACTGGGTGACCTTTGGCAAGTTATATTCTCA